CCCAAATAGGTTTTAAGATCTGTAAGTAGCTAGGGGTACTACACAGGTTTAAATCTTTCAAAAATAGTTTTTGCAGTCACCTTTTTCCTCCTTCTGGAATCCTCAACAGCTCAGGGTCCCTGAAAGTCTTAGCTTTACCCTTGGCTTACTCTCTGTCTTGTTCAGTTCTCGTGAAGGAATATTCGATAACCACTTATTAAGGCTGGTTCTGCCTTTTTCTACAGCTTAGCTTCCCCCCTCCCCTTTTGTTGTATGTTAGTGTATGTGTGTGTGTGCGCGCTTTGACCCATATCACCAGTGGCCATGAGGCCTCAATGGCAGTTACTGTCTTTCCCAGAGTCCATCTGCATCACATCAGCCCTTTCCCTCAGTCAGAAGCAGTTTCCTTCTTGTTTCAAAATCTTGACTCCCCTTTTGGATCACCCCCTAGTAGAACCGGGACAAAGGAATTGCTCCTTCTGCATTTTAAAATCAGACCCCCTGTGAGTTGCTATCAATAGGAGACCTTGAACCTGCATTGCAGCAAATGCATTGTGATGCGTCACAAAATGAATACTCACATGCCATGGTGAACAGAGTTTTCTGACACTGATAAAAAGCCATACTGAAGTCTCTCTCTTCTAGTTGTGTCCAAAACAGCTATCTGGTACCTGGTTCTACCCACTAAGTTTTTATTTCCTATTTAGAGCTCACCTGTGGAATAGAGATAACTGACTGACCTCTCCTGGACCCAATGAATGATCATGCAGGGGTCCAACCTTGTCACCCCCAGAGCTAAACCTTAGAGGAAGTTTAAGGATTCTAGGAGCTGTAGGTGAAGAGGAAATATATTCTATCCATGCCCTCTCCTGGGTGCTAACTTTGATTAGAGGGGAAAATGGAGAGACCAGGAAGTGGGTGGGATGCCTGAGGGTGGGTAGAGAGGAGTCACAACCAAGGGTCTAAAATAGGAGTTTTTAACCTGGGGTCCATTACCTTGTTTTAAAAAAAATATTTCAATTAACTGTATTTCATTATAATTGGTTTCTTTTGTAATCCTACATATCTTATGGAGTTAAAAATATTATTCTGAGAAGGGTTCACCAAACACCCCATGACTTAAAAAAGGTTAAGAATCTCTAGACTAAATCTCTGGACTCCGGCACAAAGGTCTGGCTAGAAGCACGAGAGGACACATTTCAGAAATTTTCCTGGGGCAACCCTGCATGGTTGGCTAGCATTGGATTGCTAAGAAGTAATCGGAAGTGATGTTTTCTATTACCACTCTGAGAAGAGGAGGCATAAATTCTGAGCAAGTAAGAGTCATTCATTCTACAGATTCCTCGAACTTCTGTTTTAAGAACCAGATTTGGCATATCTGATCCTCACAGGACTGCCCTTCTGTGGGGTCAAAGGTCAGGTAGGCAGATGGGGAAAAAAGCAGCCGAAGAGGAAAAAAGACCTTCAGGAGCCAAGCTCAGCATCTATCAGGACTTGGAGGTATATCCAGAGAACTCCCAGTCAGCTGTTTAGATCCATGTGAGTTAGAAAAGAATGTGAAGTGAAACTGGGTCACCCATTTGGGCAGTCACTAGGGCAAATCAGCCCAGACTTCCCTCACTCTTCCTCACCCACCTCCAACTTCCTGGAGAGGCTCCAGAATTCTGCCCCCTCCTCAGTGATCACCATCTTCCTTACTATTACCCATTCTGATGAGAATTTCCCTGGGGCTTAACGGACCTCCATGGGAGAATGATAGGAACCAAGAGAAATAACTGTAATACCGGCAATGTAATGTAGAATGTAAGAACCAGATATAAAGACCCTCTGATAAAGACCCACTAGGTAGGAACTGGCTGAACTTCTAGGTCTGTGACTCTTTCTAGTTTCAAATAACACCTCTATGTAGGGGACCACCCTTACCCAAGCAGTAAGAGTACCTTAGTAGAACATCACAGAGAGCAAACAACCCCTTGTCCTAGGACCAATGATTAGATTATAAAGAGTTGAGAAGTTTAGTGGAACAGTGGGAATAAACAAATTTTTTTTTCCTAAGAATTTGGCAGTGAAATGGAAGAGAGATATGGGATGATAGCTTGGTTTCCTCATTTGTAAAATAAGGTTGTTGGACTAAAGGCTCTCCAAGGTCCTGCAAGAGTATCTTATGAGTCTAATGACTAGGAAATGTTAGGATATTACCAAGTAAGGCTATGGAATTTCCTTATCAGAGAGTCTGACCCATTAGAATGAATGTATCTTGAGAGCAGAGGCTGGTTTTTGTTTTTGTTTTTGTTTTGCCTTTCTTTGTAACCCTAGGGCTTAGCACAGTGCCTGATACATAGTAGGCCCTTAATAAATGATCCTAATCTGCTATCCTTCCATCTCTCCCTCTACTTCACTTCTCCTTAACCCAATCTTTGCTCTTCCCATGACCTTCAGTCTCTCTACCCACTGCCCCTCTCGGTTTTCTTAATCAATCTCCTCTACTCTGGCTCTACTTGCGTCTGTCTTCACATTTTCATCTTATAGTTGATCTATTCCACTATATATTATCCTTTGCCCTTGAACCCCTTGGCCCCTGTTCCTTCCACTGTTTACCTCCTGCCGATCTTCAGACCTATGTCAACACCATTGTTCACCTTCTCCACTCTTACTTCTATGATGCTGAATGCCACTCACCTGTACTGACTGGGTCCGCTGCAAATTTATATTCTCTAATCTTGGCTGGAGGCTTATTCCTCCATGACAATCCCTTTATTCTTTCCTGGTTGTTTCTCTATTACAATCCCTGAGTGACTGTTACAAACCTTCTCCTTTTTCTTTGTGTTCCTTTTGTCTTCCCTACCCCTTGCCTCACTACCCCAACATATGACTTCACTTCCTATCTTGCTGGAGAAAAATGGAAGCTATTCATCATGAACTCTGTCATCTACCATACTCCACACGTAAGATGCTTTTATATTTCCACCTACCATCGCCTTTGCTCCATACTTCTGACTGGGACTAATTGTCCCACTTATGTTTATGACCCTATACTCTCACACCTCCCCTAAGAACTTGATACATCCCTTCAATCTTCTCCATTTTATTTAATCCTTTCTTGTTGTCTGTGAATGTACATGAGTCCCCTCCAGGTGTGTGCTGGTTAATATTTAACAATTGGATCTCCCAGGAAAAAATAAGTATATATGACATACCTTTGAGTTTAATCACATTATTAACGTTTTCTCTGACATTTTCTTAAGTCTTAACAATAGAATAAGTTAAGCCCTGATTTTCAATAAATCTATTAATAAACACTTATTAAGCACCTACTATGTGCAAGATTCTATGCTAAGCATTTAAAGAGTGAGGGGACCTATTCAACTTTATTTCCCATGACACATTCTTTCTGCACTACCATTGCCCCAGTCACCCAGGCTCACAACCTAGGTGTCATCCTTAATTCTTCACTCTCAACACCACCTCTATTCTGTTGCTGGTGCTATCAATTCCCTCTTCAAAACATCTCTCATATATGCCTGCTTTTCTCCTCTGACCCTGCTACCCACCCTGGCGTATGTCCTTAAACCTGAACTATTACACTTGCCTTTTGGCTGGTCTTCCTGTCTTCTCTCTCCCCACTCCAGTCCATCCTCCACAAAGCTACCACAGTGACTTTCCCAAAGCATAGGACTGACCACGTGACTCTGCCCCCTATTCCATAAAGTCCGTTGGTTTCCTATTACCTCCAAATCAAATATAAAATCTTCTGTTTGGGTTTTAAAAGCCCTCTATAACATGATCTTCTCCTAACTTTTCAGTCTTCTTATACCTTACTCCCTTAAACATACTCTACAGTCCGATGCCACTGGCCTCCTTTCTGTTCCTCACACAAGATACTCCATCTCCCAACTCTGGGCATTTCCATTGGCTGTCCTTCATGCTTAGAATTCTCTCCCACTTCATCTTCTCTTCCTGGCTGCTCTGGTTTCCTTCAAGTCTCACCTAAAATCCCATCTTCTGCAAAAAGCGTTTCTCTAACTCCCTTAAAGCTAGCACCTACTCTCTGATATTCTGCCCAATTTATCCTCCTTCTATCCTGTTTGTTTCTATGTTGTCTCCCTCATTAGCCTGTGAACTTCTCAAGGGCTGGGGATATTTTTACCTTTCTTTGCTTCCCCAGCACTCAGCACTGTGGCTGCTACATAGTAGGTGTTTACTAAATGCTTGTTGACTAGTCAGGACTGTCTCTTCAATCCTCCAAAACCAGAGAGAGTGAGAGGCTGATGACTTTGCACAGCTCTGCTTCGCTTAAATCCAATTCATATGCAAGTCAAGCCATCACCCTCCTGATATCATTGGTCCTCTTCAAGAACGAAGGATAAACAACAATAACAAGGCACATAGTAGGTGTTATATAAATGATTATTCCCTTCCCTTATTTTACAGATGGGGAAACTGAAGCTTGAGAGGTTAAGTGACTTGTCTGCCATTTAGAACGAAGGATGAACAACAACAATGAATCCTACGCTCTAAGACTTTGCTCATGCCATCCCCTCAACTGAAATGCTTTTCCCTCTTTTTTTTCCACCTGCCTAATTGAAATCCCAGCTTTATCTTTCAAGTTTGCTTCCTTGAAGCCTTTTTTAGTTTCTCTGTCCCATACTGAGCTCTCTCTTTCTTGAACTCCCTTCTAGGCTAGAGTTGGTGAACCAGTTTAGCACTTTGTTGTTCTCAGACGGTTCCGTGTTTATGTGATTTCTCTCTTCCACCTAGATCTCTGAGGGCCAGAAGTACTTAGTCCTCTGCATCCATCTAGGGTCTGGCAGGGTTTCTGAACTCATGGTGGGTGTTCACTAGGGACTTATGAATCAATTGAGATAGAAGCCCAAGTGCTCTTCTGGCCCTTATCCTTTCACTAGGAGCCCATCATTGAAGAGACATACAGAAGAAAAGGATGTCAGATCAGCTTTTATTAAAACAAATACATAAGTCAATGCCTTCCTCCTTGCTAAAAAAAAAAAAACTATCAAGGGGAAGCCTCACAGAGTGTCTAATTCAAGAAAAAACAATTCATAAAACCAGAGACAGAAAGGGAAAAAGAGAAACTCCCCAAATCAAAAGAGCATCAAGAGATAAAGAGGAATTGTAACACCTAAGAGTTGCATTTGAAGCCAGAAATGACTAGTTCTTTCTTTATTTGGTTAGGCTCATAAGCCCTGTCTTTGGACCCTACCTCACTTATGCAGACCCCCTTAGGCACTTAGGCTAAAAACGTATTGGGAGTGGTGGGTGGGCAGAAATGCAGAGGATGTCTTTCCTCTCTGAATACCAGAGTCCAGTTTTGGAAGTCCTCGTCCACCTGGTTTGGTGACCACCCCCAAAGGATGGCCTAAGTAGGCAGATCTGTGCAGCAACAAGACGACTTCTTCCATAGACCACCCTGGATCAAACAAATAGGTGCTTTAGGAGAAAGAATAGAACTTCCATATCCCCAGTCCTGGCCCCTTCCAACGGGAGTACAGGAAATCCTTGTTACTGCTGTCCTCAAACCAAACTTCTTCAGGGAGATCACAGAACTGGATGCCTCCACACAGCTGGTGATCTAGTACTTCCCATGGGCACCAACTTGAAAGTCTTCTGGAGAAATAAGATGGAGGATGCAGAGTGGACCTTTCCAGTGTGTTTCCTCCACCTCTCACCCCCACCCCCACCTCCTGCCAACCTCTCTTTTTGGTTCATAGCAATAGGATTTGGATCTATCTCTGAGAACTATGATGCCCCTTTGGAATTTGTTTTCATAAAGATGTGGAGAGACACCGCTGGCGATCAGTATCCCAAAGAAGGATCACTGGTGGAACTATGATTCCCCATATGCATTCCTATTGACATGACCTTTGGTTCTTGGAGAGGATGGGGCATGTGAAGCAGTCTAGAGTAGGGAGAAGAAAGAAGAGCCTCTAACAACTGATTGAGATGCAAAGAAAGTTGGAATGTGGGTGGTTTCCAACATTCAAGTAAAGTCAATTTGCTCAGTAAACTAGTGCAGAGGCAGGCACACTGGTAGAATGAACATATCCCTGGGTAGGCAACATAACCAAGAAAGTATTTCCTTCTGATATCACAAAGTCAGGCATTGGTGTAGAGGCACTTGCAAAAGTGAAGCTATTGGCCAAGATTAAGGGCCCAAGAGCCTGTTTTTAAGTCAGGAAGAGGAAAGGGAGACACCAAGACAATATGTGGGCCCTAACTTCTACCCAAAAGGGCAGCCTTGGGAAGACAGCACCTTGGTAAACCTGACTGATCAAAGCTGGCCAGGCCCACGCTATGGGCTGGGATCTATATGGGATCTATATATGGATCTCACAGACCAACTTCAGTGGGAATAAGTAACGCTGAGAAAACTTAGAAGACTCAGTGGGTCCAGGCATTTCACCAAGACTTGCCAAGGTGGTACTTGTAAAGCTGTGGTAAGCATGGGGATGAGTGGGCTAGCTGAGGTTCTGAAGGCTGCTCTGGGCCCTCTTGCATGTTCTTAGCAAAGCGGGCAAACAGCATGCCCTTTGTCTGGTGGCATAAATCAAAATCTTGGAATCCTGAATGATTTTGCAAAGTATCCCATCCCACAATTGCTCCCCAGCCCCAATCTGCCCCACTTCAGGCCTCTTGAAATGTCCTTACTGTGTACCTTCAGTGTGTGTGAAGATAAGGAGGGAGCTCCTTTGATGGCCCCCCGCCACACGTATGGCGCCCAACTTCCCCCCTTGCTCTATATTGCCCCATTTCTGGAGAAAGGAGCAAGGTTATTATGATCAGAGCTGCCTCAAAAAAACAAACAAACAAACAAACAAACCAGCAGGGCAGCCAGGAGAGGACACTGAGGACCCCTACCTAATGCACAGGCTCAACATGGACATACATCCCTATTCCCAGCCCTCCCCCTCCCCCCACACCCCCTGCCACCATCCTGAGCACGATCACACCGACAGGTCGTCTGACCTGGCCTTGCTGCTAGCCTTGCTCAGGCGGCGCTTATCACTGTGGTAACTATGGGGGAGGCGGTGGGCGTTGGAAACCCCATTAGCCACCTCGGGCTCCTCGGCGTATTGCATGTGCAGAAAAGCCCTCCCTGCGGCCTCCTCCCGGCCCTGGACTTGCTCGGTTGCCAAGTTGTCTGTATTCTGCCGGGAGGCAATGTTATTGCTGAAATGGCTGCTGTAGAACTTCCCACTGGAGCCGCCCTCTACACACTCATTAAAGTCTGGGGGTGGCGTGCAATTCTGGACCACCTCGGGCCGAGGAGGAGGCAGGATGGCCTCCACCCTGCCAGGGCAAGCCTGGGTGAAGTGGCGCTTGGCTTTCTTCCAGCCCAGATGGTAGAGTTCAGCCAGACTGAGGCAGAGGGACAGACCCCCCACAGCCAGCATGAATACGATGAAAACGTTCTTCTCCGTGGGCCGGGACACGTAGCAGTTGACAGGGTGGGGGCAGGGTTTCCGGCGGCAGATGTGCAGGGTTTCCAGGAAGATGCCATAGAGGAAATACTGGCCCACGATGAAAGCCACCTCCATGGCGGTGCGGATGAGGATGCTGCAGATATAGGTATTGAGCAGGGTACCCTGAAGGATGATCCTTCCGCTCAGCTCCTCCCGGCAGGACAGCTCAGCCTTGGCTGCCTGGTACTCGTAGGTGTCTGTGCCCTTGGACTCCTTGGCCCTCTCCGCCTCCCTCACCTTTCGCTTCTCCTCCATGCGTACCGTATGCATTGCGTGGCCCATGTATACCAGGGAAGGCGTGGAGACGAAGATAATTTGCAGCACCCAGTATCGGATGTGGGAGATGGGGAAGGCTTGGTCGTAGCAGACGTTTTCACAGCCAGGCTGCAACGTGTCGCACTGGAAGTCGGCTTTCTCGTCCCCCCAAGAGGACTCTGCTGCTGTGCCCAGCACTAGCATGCGGAAGATGAAAAGGACAGTCAGCCAGACTTTGCCGACCACTGTGGAATGTTTGTGGACCTCTTCCAGGAACTCCCCGAGGAAGCTCCAGTCACCCATCTCTCCTCAGGCTGCAAGGAGGAGCACCGGCACCTCTGTGGACGAGAGAGAAAAGAAAGGACCGATCTGTGAGAGCCAGGATATGTTCAGAATATGCTTGAATGAGTCATTATCATTAAGACTCAAAATCGTGACTTATTTATCATTAACGCTGCTTCTATTTCAATAATTAACACCACTCAAGTCCCATTCTCATGCCTCATTGTAGAATGAAGGTGATAGTGGATTTCCAAAGGTCATACCAACGGTGGGCAAACTGGAAAGACTTCAAGTTGGAAAGGCTTCAAGTATGGGCCTGGTGATAGACATCCTGTTTATCATTTGAGGACTAGTTCAGTTAGCTGAGTTCAGAGAGACTTGTTTCTAGAAGCTTAGATAGAGAGGTGATGACATTTTTGAGTCACAGGAGTTCTCAAAACCCTCGATGAAGGTGTAGACCAGTCAAGATTCGCATCACTGGAGAGTGTACTCTCACCAACGAAATCATGGATCCTTGAAGGAAGATGATGAAAGCAACAAAAAGTGGGGAAGCCAGACAGCTCTCTACCTGGTGGTGGAGAATACCTCAGAGGATGGGACGATTTGGGTGGATAATGGACCCAGATTCTAGGAAGATGAACAGTAATATTTATATAGCACTTTAAGGTTTTCAAGTGCCATATATGTACACATATATGTTTATATGCATATATGTATGCATGTATTTGTGTGTAGATTATATATGTATAAAATTTACCCCATAGGGTTGTTGTGAAGGATCAAAAGATATATCTCTCTATATATCTATATGCATATATACACACAATATACATATACATACATACATATATGCACATATAAACACATCATACATAATGTGTGTATATTGTGTGTATGCATATAAATATGTATCAAGTGAGAGATATATCCTTTGACCCCTGACAACAATCCTGTGAAGTAAATGCTATGATTATCCCCATTTTGCAGATGAGGAAACTGAGGCTGAGAGAGTTGAAGTGACTTGCCTGTCATCACACAGCTAGAAGTGTCTGAGACAGGATCTGAATTCAGGTCTTTTTGACTTCCCGTATCCAACACTCCCAATTACATCACCTCTTTGCCCCAAAAGCATCAAGAGTTTTGGCTGCCGTGGGTGAGAGAAGGGAAGGAGCAATGACAGACGTGCCCCGGATGTTGCAGGGGAGATATAGGGAATGTTGGACCATGGCCTCAGGAATGATGCTGATTGATTTGATGGTTGAGAGAGTAGTCTGGGAGGGATCACTGAGGAAATTTTTAAAATGTAGTTTTCCCATCAAAAGTGTACCCTGGTTGTATGTTGGAAAAAACCTAAAGAGGGAGCATGGAAGGTATTGGGAGTGAGGTCAGAGTGTAGTCGAGTCAGTCAGTCAGTCAACAAACATTTATTTAGCGTTTACTCATGCCAGGTCCTGTGCTGTGAGTGCAGCTGGTTTCCTGTTTGGAACGGATGTGAGAGTGAGTGTTTTAATGGGCAGTAAAACAAGTGCAGAAAATGGAAAGCTGGTTACACCTTGGATCCCAGTGTATGTATAGGGATAGGGCTGTGATTTGGAACCTAGTTCCTCTCCCCGCCTCATTCTCCATTTCCTCACCCTCCAGCACATCCACATACAATGCATACCAGCCCAGAGCAGAGTTAGCTAGGACAACAGGATTCTATCTTGTGCCATAGAATCTCAACTGGGAATTTCAGAATTCTGTGGGATTTGTTTCTACAAATATTAAGTGCCTGCTATATACAGAACACTGCGCTAAGCACCGAATTACATAAAACTCAAACTTTTTCACCCACATACAACCTGGCAGATAAGGTAGAAGGTGTTATAGATGCTCTCCAACAAAAAGCTTAGTCTGAATGAAGCAATGAACAGAGCCCAGTGCTGGCAAGTCAGTTGAGAGAGCTGTGGGTCTCTGCCTATCAGCTCTGCCTGAAGGCTTACTAACTGCACATCAGGAGTGACTGTGAAGGATGTGGGGAACACAATTATTTGTAGTACCTGAAAGCTGCCTCTTCCTCTGGATTTGAATTTGTGGTATTGCACACCTCGGGAATCATCAAGTCCTATTTGCTCATTTTGACAAATGGGGAAACAGATGCTGTGCGTATAGTGGCTTGCCCAAGGCTTCCTCACGCAAAGATAAGAACTGAAAAGATAAGCTTCCCTACCACCATGGGCACAATACTAAGCTGATTTTTCAAACTTGTCTGAACCCACACCTGTTAAGTGCACCCCAACAGAGGTCCTATGCTGATCAAAGGGGCAAGTCTACCCTGGCTCCTCAGATTGGAATTTAGCTCTCCCAATCCCCTACTTCTACCAGCCCAGTGATCTTTCCACCGTGTCACATCTAAGAGTAGAGAACGATTATTTCCAATTTTTCCTGCATTTTGCTTTGTTTGTATATAGCTGACTATTCCTCTGGATTTGAATTTATGAATTCACCTTGCACCTTGGGGATCATCAAATCCTATTTGCCTGGCACATAGCTGTTGTTGTTCAGTTGTTTTTCAGTCATGTTCTACTCACTTCATGACTCCATTTGGGGTTTTCTGGGCAAAGATACTAGAGTGGTTTGCCATTTCCTTCTCCAGCTCATTTTACTCATGAGGAAACTGAGGCAAACAGGGTGAAGTGACTTGCCCAGGGTTCCACAGCTAGGAAGGGCCTGAGGACAGATTTGAACTCATGAAGATGAATCTTCCTGACTCCAGGCCCAACACTCTATGTCACTGGCACATAGTAGGACTTAATAAATGGTTATTGACTGATTATTCTCACTTCCTCTGACATGCTAAGCAAGCTGAATTAATTCCTCCTCATATTTTCCAAGTTATCTCATATCTATCCCAACATCATGAAGGAGCCTTTCTTTGGCAAGACAGTATAACCAGGAACCCTTGGTTTAACACTTACTTGTATTTACAAGTGGCAACCTTGACTTTCCCATTATTTCAATGACCACATAAAGTGGTTTCACCACCCCACCCTTGTTGTTGCAGTCTCTTCCTCCCCTTCCTCCCCAAACTGGAGACATCATTGGACATTGTAGGTACAGGAGCATAATGTTTGCGAAGTCTGAAGAGACAGAAACTGGCATCAGGAGGCCCGGATTAATTTCTTGGCTCTGCTATTAACTATAAATACTTATACCTTGGGAATACCTCCCTTCGCTGTTTCTTCTTCAATTTCCTCAGGTAAAGATAGAACCAATAATAGTGGGTCATCCCTCAAATACTTATATGCATTTCTAATTCTCAAAGTGCTTTGAAATTCTTTCTGAATTCCTGCGAGGCAGGAATTAACGTTATTAACATAGGAGTTCCTCACTTTAAGTAAACCAAATATCTGCCCATGTGGATTCCTATAAAAGATAAATTAAGGGGTGCTTTGCTTAATAAGATTCTACTGCACAAATATAAAACCACTTTTATCATTGCAAATGTTTTCATCTCTCTGGTCCCAGGGGATCCTCACAACTCTGAGACAGAGAGTGAAGTTTACGCCAACTCACAAATCCACAAAGGCCACAGAACCAGTGATTTGTCCAAGAGTCCCACAACTAGTGTTTGTTGTCCTCCCCCATCCTCCCACATCATTGGAATCCTTATCCAGTATTCATGCCACTAATTCATGACTGTCTCCTCCCTCCTCCCTCCCATCCCCGACCTGGACCCCTTTCCAGAGGGAGTCTGCTTTATAAGAGTTCCTAATAAGATTCCTCAAACTATCTAACTCCATGATTGTTTTTCATTTGGTTAGTTTTTACTTTGGAATAAAGGAAGGCAAAAAACATTCATTAAGCACCTACTATATACCAGTCACTGTGCTAAGTATTGGACAAATATCTCTCTTGATCTATACAACAACCCTAGAAGGTAGGTCCTAGGTAGTACAGTGCTATCCACTGAGCCTAAAGTCAGGAAGACCTGATTTCAAGTTCAGTCTGAGGCATTTACTAGCTGTGTGACCCTGGGCAAATCACTTACCCTCTGTTTGCCTCAGTTTTCTTATCTGTAAAATGGGGATGATAATAGCACCTACCTCCTGGGGTTATTGTGAGGATAAAATGAGATAATATTCGTTAAGCACTTAGCACATAGCAGGCACTATATAAGTGTTAGATATTATTATTATCGTTATTTTAATTGTTGAGAAAACTGAGGCAGCAGATGTTACATGATGAGATTTGAACTCAGATCTTGCTACTCTGACTACAAGCCCAGCACTGTCTCCACTACGCCACCTAGAGGCCTTCTAAGAAAGCAGAAGGTGGATCTTTAGTTAAACTGATGTAGGGAATTCTTACTGTGGAAATTTTCCCCTCTAATGCAAAGCAATAGCTGCTTATAATTTAGTGTTAGAGAACTGCCTGGGGGACTGAATGGCTAAGTAACTTGCTAATGTTTACACTGACAGATTGGTCAAGCAGAGGACTTGAACCCAGATTTTCCTGATACCAAAGTCCACTTCCTGCACACTATGCCTCGCAGGTATACTTATAGAATAGGATTCACCACCTTCTAAGAGTTTATTGCTTAAAGAAAAACAAAATGAGATTGACTCCATTTGCCAGATGGGTGGACTGAGGATCAGGAAAATCAAATTGGTTTCTCATGGGTCATGCATTCACTTAGTAGGAGAACTTGGAAAAGAACAACAACAACAAGAGAAGAAATCATAGGATGCAAGAACACTGGATTCAAAACTGCAAGGAATCTCTTCAGAAATCACTTTGTCAGAGACTCATGAATTGACAGCAGGAAGGGACCTTCTGGGTCATCAGTTCTGACCTCTTCCTTTTATTCCTCATGAATAAACGGAGGCCTAGAAATGTGAAACAGCTTGTCCAGTGTCAGAAAGAGAGGAGAAGAAAGCCGAGCCAGGATTCTACCCCTAGTTTTGACTCCCAATCCCATTTTCCCCCCTATGCCCCACTCCTTTCTTCTGCTTGCTGAGCAAAGCTGTCATTAGGGAGAATTTCAAAGCCATTAGACTCTACTGGGGACAAAGAG